ATACCAATTTTTTAATTACTAGAACTATAAATATATTTAAATTTTAATATTAAAAGGCTAATATTTAATTACCCAAATAATTTTGAATCTAGAATTTAATTAAGAGGATATAATAATTGTTTTTTATATTGTTAATATTACTTGTTGCAAACATTAATATGTACCTATAAATATTATATTGATACAAAGAAATAAATTAAAACATTTATTTCATTTCTTTCTCATTTAAAGATTAAAATTCTAGGCCTCTATCAAATCTGTTAATATAAAATTCTAAAAGGACAAAACTGAAGAAAATATTAAAAAACGTTCCAGAATATCCATTATCTCTTTTTTAAGAACAGAAAGTCGTTTGAATATTTTAATAATATGTATGTTAATTTGCTAGTTTTTTTATATTCTCTCGAGAAATGAATAAAAAAATGTTCTCAGATATTTAGCAAATATAATTGATAAATTATAGATGTCGAATGGATTGTATTAAAATCGTTTTATAGCTTAAAAAGTAAATTTTTTCTCAAAAAATGAATTTATCCAGGCATGTATCAATCTGTTCACAATTGCAATCTAAATTATACACGATATATTTTATTTTGCCTCATCGCAGATTGCAGGACAGAGGATGATAAAAATAAATATCATTTCCCCGACCTCGACTTAGCTCGCGCAATTGCCGTCGACGTCGTCGTTCGCGAGTCGTCGATTTATCTGAACGGCAAAATCCAGCTTCTCCGATCGCAGGTAAAAGGGAGGGGAATGGCGCACTCATATTGCTGCGAGCCGATCGAGCGTATACCGCGACGAATTGCGACGAAGCGAGCAACGGAATAAAACGGCTAGAAAAGAACGGACCCTTCGGCAATGCACTCGATACCGAAATCGACGATACCATCCATTTCGAAATATCGCCAGCGCAGTTTCCGAGCCAAGTGCGCGACTCGGTATAGGAACTGGTTGGAAAACTATGGTGGACTATCGTAACGGCGCGGCGGGGGACACTTTGTACAGGCATTTGCTCCGCTTTTCGCTATCGTAACGGCAAATAAATATTGCTTCAGTGCCGGGCAAGATTCGACGCGGCTTAGCGCGGTGAAATACGGCGTGGACCGTGAGTAAAGCGCAGCGTGCGCTTTGACATTAACGGCATTACCGCGTTCTCTTTTCATCGCGCACAGCCATTAGTTCACATTAACGTGAGAAGGAATTTCTGTTTTTCGCTTAATAATTTCTAAAGAGTAGAAAACACATTGAAACATATTCTTTTGTGATATGACATAGCTGTATACACGAGAGCGTGAAGTCTACTACGTGATACACGTTTCTAACGAGATTATAAATATGTGTTTATAATTTTGCCTTCTGCTTCAAGACAGTATATATCTTAAAGGAATAAATATTTCATAATTATAAGGGTATAATGGATTTTATATAGCTTCTATATGCATTGTACGATATATCTCACTTTACGTTAGTTATAAAATTCTATTTCTTCTCTGAGTTTTAAATTTTACATACATAATATAGCGCATCCTGCATATTTCACATTCTTATTATCCTTTCATTTAAAATTCATAATTTGCATGCGATAATTTGCGTATTGAAAAAGTTTCGTTTTATATTTATTTGCTGTGAATTTTAATCGTGGAAAAGTTGTCGGAGCTGCGCATAGACAGCAGACGGTACAAAGATAAAATCAGGAATAAAGGCGAACGTGGCTAAATTTAAAGGCGAAGTGGAAAATTTTACTAGTGCTGTTTTCCGCCGAGTTCAAAGCTACAGATCAAACAACTCGGATTACGTGCCGCGACTGGAGGGAAGTTTGGAAAATCATCCGGCGAGTGGGCAGTGTGCTCGTATTGTTCTCGTGACCGGTGTTTGCTTAACCCGCGCGCCATGACTATAACAAGAAGTTATTGTTGCCACGGAGTGCGGAGAATGCGGAACCTTATTGAATTCGCGCAAGGTAGCAGTGAGGCGGGTAGCCTTTGCGTATCGAAAGTCGAGTTCGATAGCTTTCATTTCCCGGTGTTCATCGAAAGTTGAGAGAGAATGCTTTATTGGCGAAACAACTCCTCGAAACGTAAAAGTTTGTCTAGATAATATGGAAATGGGATACGAATGACGTACTATACATACACACACACACACACACACGCGCGCACACACACAATCGTAATATATGGTATTTAAGAATTTGAGTTAATTAATTAAATCACCAAATTCACCAAAATTATTAAATTTTTTAAAATAAAATGTAAAAACAATTTATTTCTAAGGCTTTTAATACTACATATTTAAATTCATTCAATTTAATAGTGAAATAAAGAAAACATAAATTTTAATTTTTTATTTATGTGCTTTAAATAATATATATTAAAATTTATTTTAAAAGCTTTCTGTAAATTGATAATATCGTTAAATGTTACACGTTATTTATCTTCGCTACACAATTTATTAGCGTAGTTCGATATTAATGATATTTTGGATTTTTCATAAAAACTGATAAAATTTATATATCGCGCTTTATAAACTTTCTCATGTTTTTGTATTTTCCGCAACGAAAACAACAGCGCGAACTGAAAAATTCCCGTTTTATCACAGTCATACATTAATTTCACCGTAAAGCAAGTGAATTAATTTCGCAGGTATGTATAGTAAGAGCGTTTTTAAGGTATACCGACCTTTTTTTGATCCCGTCACGTTTTCGTTATACCCCGAGTCTCGCTGTGCGATTTCCGCAATTTTCACATGTACCTCGTAACAATTTCAATTTCTACCCGCGCCAAAGTCCCATTTTCCCCGACATACAATGGAAAATTTTATCGGACGCGCTCTATCCCGGCCTTCTTGTCCGTTGCACGGCCGTTCCGTTGGGCTTTCCGATGCCACCCCCTCGGAAATCCGCCCGTTCTTTTTTATCCCATTCTGCTACTCCTGTGGGATTATGATAATGACAATCTCCGCGATCGTCGAAAGCTCGGTTAATGGCAAGTCGAGCGATTCATATAAATTGAATGAAACCCGCGCTGGGATGCATCATACAGGTATATTAACTACCACATGAACGTCACTGGAGTACATTAATTCCAGACACTGCATTTCTCTGAAAATAAAAAAAATGACGAAACAAGTTTTATTATTGTTTCCAATTAATCTTTTATTTTTTTAATAATATTAATTAACAATGTTTGATTTCCTGGAAGCAAAATCATTTCGCTATCATATATGGGTCAACCGGAAAATAATTGAAAATATAATTATGAATATACTTTCTGTATATACATTACATTAAACTAATATTGAGAGACAGATATATCGATGACGTTACACAAGTTAATGTTTATGAACGAGTATAATTGCAAGATGTTAATTAGCATTTTGTAAATCGGATGTATCTCAGTCAGAAGTGCATTACATCGTTTATAAACATGCGCGCGGTCGTCCAAATTATACAAATACGGACACTTAATTATTAGTGTGTTTAGTTATTATAGTGCATACATTTCTAAATACGTACTTACTTGTAAAATAAAGTGCAAAACTTTATTGAAATAATTGTCAACAATTAAAACCAATTTGTCGTATATTGTAGATCTTAGTATATCACTGTTGCAGATATACACCGTTATAGCGCGATGCGGCGAAAGTGATAGGAAGCGGCAAGCGTGTGTATATATGTATATATGCACGCTTTAATACGCTTTACGGTTATTAGTTTGTAAATTATTTGCCTCGATCTAAGATCAAAGAGGATAGTGGTATTCTTGGCGCGAACAGCATCGTGCTTCGTGATTGCTAAACGCAATTGTGTAGAGGAACCATGAGTAATGGCGTGACGCTTTATAATCCCGGAAGTTTGAGCTTAATCAAGTACTTATTACAATTGCCCACGGTATGCGCAACCCGGCAACTTTCAGTCCACTCGCAGCTGCAGCTTCTGATACTGTAAAGGGTTCCGCGTCTAATCTCGTTTGAATGTACGCTGTACTGAGTTTCCATATTCATCTAACTTCGACTTTGACTTTAGCGTTGAGTTATATAGCCCGCTCAATGTTTCATCAGATAAGATTTGTCCGCGGGTTTACGCGCCTTGTTACGCTTTCGATACACTCTCTTAGATAATATTTATTTCCAGCTGCGACAATGACACGCGTGAGATCTACAAGTATTTACACACTGCTAGGTATTTTTAATGACTAAAAATTTCAGGTATCTATATGTATTTCTATACGTTTTTTATGATTTCTTTTATATAGATCTTGTAAAAAAATAATTTTTTTTTATCGAGAATCTAGGATTAGAATCTGAATATAAATAAGGAAAAAAGGATTCGTTGTCAAATAAATGTTGGTTTAAAATTTAGATGTAAGGTGAAAACATAATTTGCATTTCAAAAATTTTATTAACATTATTGATTACGAGCTATTATCTTTCAAAAAATTTAATTTTATTATTTATTCGTGTATAAATTAAATAAATTGTGCGTCTGTTTATCTGTGTTACATCATGCTTTCTCATTACTATCATCAGACCTGTTTTTACCGTAAACTGTAAACTAACCAAGTTGTGGATTAAGACTTTACATATTATGATACGCGCGCTCCGCGCGCGAGAAGGGTTCATTTATATTTTATATTATAGCTTGGAGCCACAACAACTCTAAATTCACTACTGACCATCACATAAGATTAATTTGCATATGAGATTAATTTGTGCCTGCAAGCTTCTATTTTACAATAAAAACATCAGCTTTAGCTAATCTAAAAAAATATTTTCTAAATTTTAATTTTAACATTTATGCATAAAAAATATATTTACATGTATTCGTTATATTCTTTAAATAATTTGTGAAGTTAATGCAAAATATTTTTTCAGAAACACACACTTTATCCGATAATATTCCATTTTCAATTAGTTTATAAAATAAAAAATTGTATTTACAAAATTAACTTGCATTTTTCAACATCACTATATATTAATATGGCGTTATTCTGTTTTAGGTGGTTCCAGTATCGCCAGCGTGGTAGCAGGGAGCAAGCCGACGAGATCCTGGGACAAACCTCAATTCGACGATATTGCACCGCGAAACGTCACTGCCATCGTCGGTCAGACGGCGGAGCTGAATTGTTACGTCAAGCATCCGGGCGACCGTGTGGTGAGTACTATTTTCATACTACATTTGCCACGTTGCATCCGTTATTTCTCCCCTGCGTTGTCAGATAAAAGTCCATAGGAATTTTCATCAGTGCTGCACACCAATTTTTCTCAATTTTTCCAACGGCTATTCGATGCTTATTTTTTAAAGGCGTACAAACGATCGTAATGATTTTATAACATAAGGGGATTTTATAATGTTATGGAAGAGCGTAAAGATTTAACTACACGATCTAACTACACATTACGTCAAGGTAAAAAAAGCCATCAAGTACACGGTGCTGTTCTTCATTCCGTATTGTTTCACACCTTACCACGTCGAGCCGCTACTCCGTGTCACCGTCGATCTCGAAAGCTAATCGCGTTGATTAATGCCGCAAAATTGTTAGTTTGAAAAATGATGGAACGCAATTTCCACAGTATAGCTCCCGTATGACGTTAAGTTGTCGTGCTACTTCGAAATACCCGAAACAGAGATCTCAGATTATGGTACACGCTCTTGAGACTCTGTGTATACCAGCGCAAATTGCAGAAGCGCACGCTACGGAAAAATCGATCGGGAAGATACGCATAAAGCTTTTCGTCGAGATATAACTCTTTTTTTAAAACAGCGTCGCAAATGGAAATTTTCCCTCAATAATATCATGTTGTGATCCATTTTTTGATAAGTCGTAAAATAGTATGTTTGATACATTCTCTCGATGCAAAGTAATCAAGTTCTTTTCTATTTCTGCATTTTTAATTTTTACTGGATGAATATATTACATGTAAGGTATACATATTTGACAAACTTTTATACTGCCATGTAGAATTGAATCATAATTGATATGCTATTTGATTGTACCATATTATCGAGTATATTTGTCCTCGAACGATGCAATCGAAAAGACAAACATTTCTATTTAACACGCTTCTACTCTACGTCCACGATAACAAATATTTGTTTTTCTAGCTGCAATTAATACCCGCGTAATTGTGAAGTCACGTCGCGATTGCGCGCTTCGCGCGCGATAACTTTGCGCGTGTCGGCATAGGAAATCTCCTCCAGAAGAACGTTTATCGTTAGGATGCAAATGGGGCAGCGAAACTTTCAAAGTCTCCCCGACAAGCGGACAATAACGCTGCCCTGAGACAGTTCGCCTGTAACTGCAACAGTTACTGGGGAGGAACTCGCGCGCGATCCAATATGCGGCACACAACACAACGGTGGCGTTTTCACGGGAGTCCGGCCCGCGTGTAGAATGGGCGACGCGATAAAAACGCCCGCGGACATTCTTGCTGCGCTGCATTTACAATGGCCAGCAAGAAACGCAGCGAGGAGAGTTCTCTCGGCCTGATTAAATGCAAATCTCGCCGTTATTACAGCGCCCGCGAGCGCAGAAGGCAACGCCGTTCTTTAACGTCGCGCTATTCAATTAACAGCCGTAAGATTATTTAGTTTTAAATCGGTAAATAATAATTAATGCGCGCCGGCTTCGCTGCAAAGCTGGCGCGCTTTTGTCAGACTTTTGCAGGAAAGCGCGATCAATAGATCTCTCTCGCATTCTTTCCCGAGAAGAAGATCTTAATCTTTAAGATGACACATTCATGAGCGAGTTGCAGAGAAATATTTACGGCGTCGCGGTCGTTAAACCTTATCGACTTGCCGCGAATTGTTTTGGGTATTATCTTCGACAAGCATTAACGGGTCGTTAAACTTTAACGACCCCGCACTAGTACTGAAAGTCAAATGTTCAATCCTCGCTTCACAGGAAATTCGAGTTTGGAACACTTGTAGACGGATATCATCATTTAACTTAGTTGCTAATTACTATTCAAGATTGTACTTATTGTATGTACATTGTACACATTGTTAATAGCGAATATTTTAACCTGACGTAATAGATCTAGATTTTTGGTAATTAGTAGAAAACAAAATTATTGACGTGATAATTGCGTCTCTCTTGTAATATCTGAAATAATATTTTAAGTGTATTCCGGAAATACGTTGGGATTTATTTTTCTTTTTTTTTCTTGTTATGATGAGATAAAATAAAATATAATTATTTAATAAATCAATTTTGATGATTTTTATCTGTTAAATTCGTTTTTGATAGCGCCATTAAAAGTCATATTTGTAATCTTGAAAAAGAGCCAGTTCTCGTTAGAAATAAATTTCTGATCTCACAAATTTAAATTATTTTTAGTATTTCGTATTTCACCTGACTTTTATTGCAATCTCTATGCAAATTTTAATTTTGCAAGAAATTTACGGAGGCATCCCGAGAGCAAACTTATCGAAACAGTAATTTCGGATGATTCGCATAGTTCAGCAAGAAATGTTTCTTCTTCCGGAACTGTTTGCAAATACAAACGAACATCCCGGGAGTCGGTTATTGTTTGTTCTTGGATACTCCGGGCGCCGACAAGAGCGTTTGTGAATTCGTTTGCATTGTCTCAACCTTGTTACCTGTTTGAAAATGTACGTTCTCTAGGTTCATTAACACTTTGTGCAGCACGGGCGATAATGAAGTGTGTCCTGATGGAATAATTATCTTTGTGTGTAAATGGCGTGGGAGATGTTCGTCCATTTTGTCGCAACAATTTATTGTTCTTTCGTGTTCTCGCTCGATATCGTGCGGCAGTCTGCCTCTCGTATGAATACGTTTATAATATAAAAAACGTCCGGGGCGCGACACGCGAACGGTTTAAAGAGAACAATTATGCGTTAATTCGCCAAAATTCATTTCTCAGTTGATCTACGCCAATTACATTATCTGACTTGTGTCAAACCGCGTGATTTCTGGAATATTGTACATTGGGCACCGAGCGAATTCGATATATACGTAAATGTCCGCATAATTATGGGTGTTTATCCGATTTAGCATACGTATACGGCGCGATATCAATATGTACATTAAATCCATTAAAGTTACGTAATGAACAATTGAGGCTCAATGTTTATTTTACACTGCATATTCGCGTATTATTGCATTATGGGGCGTATAATACGATCGCGTCCGTCGCATACGGATGCGCGTTATACATTATTAATATCATTCGTTCAATTTTGATCGCGATCATCCGAGAGTTTTGTAACATTTGAGCAAAATTGTTAGCACACCACTTAATTAACCATTTTCCAATCACAACAAAATACTTATACTTTTTATTTGTCAACTGATATAAGTTAACGTTCTCGATTCTACACATTACGGTCGATTAATTTTGTATCAATATTATTCTTCTGCGCATAGAGTTTTAAATAATGCAAGATATTTTATAAAGCTACAATTATTTTTAAAAACTCTAAAAACAGCGTAAAGATCATTGATACAAGATGTTGTTTGGATTGATATAAACTTCGCATACAACGGGCATGATCAATTGTTCGATGCTTTCTGGATACACACAGCAGCTGCAATCTCAACAGGATGGTACGTAACATCGTTATCAGGGAGTTTTATTATTTTGAAACGGAGCAATCGTCCTCTTACTTTAACGCATCATTGAGCATCCTCGACTATCGTAACAAGAGAGACGGTCGTTAAAGTCGCCTTTACTCGCTCCTGAAATTCCCAGGAGTGCCTGCGCCATATTGTGTGCTTGTGTTCATCCGTGTAGCGTACCTATATATGTATATACAAGGTAGCTACAAGGATAAAAACTAGATATTTTTTTTTCTTAAATAATAATTCGCCAAAATTATTAGTCGCTATTTAATCTTGTGACAATTAAAATAATTATTTCTTTAATTTGACCTGCAATATCTAAAATATGTCAAAAAGTAAAAAATTACATACAAGAAAAGTATTTTGCTCTGAGAATGTTTAAAGCAACTGAATTATAATTTAAATATTTTGCAATAGATAGCCTTATATATATCTTTTTATAGCTGCTTTCTAGATTTTAAAAAAGATCTCGGTAATTGAGGTGAAACACTCGGTATAAGGTATAAGCGCGTGCGTGTATCCGATGATGGTTGCGCGAAGGCTGTCTTTAATTGGCCAAACCGAAGGGCTTGAGAATAGTAGAAGAAGCAAATTGCGAGGGTGGTTGCCCCCGACTGCACGTTCTCGACGCTGGTAAATGAACCGATCAAGCGTACCCGGCCAAGTGGTTGCCAAGAGAGTATCGGGTCAGATCGCTCGTCACTATGTCGATGATATACATGTCGCACGGCATACATATAGCCAGCCACAAACGTCTCGGAGTAGGTACGCTGCTATTACATTGGCGAGTATGGGATAGCTGGGGCGAAGATCAAAGGATAAGTGCAACTACCGAATTAAATAAGCCGACAAACGTGAATACAGGGGGACTAACTTTAGCCAGTTTTGCACACTTATACATGTGATGTTATTGTATATTTAATACATTATATTTAGCTACTGCCATGTATTTTTGAGTGTAAATTCGCACCATGCAAATCTAAAACGCAATGTTGAACATATATGTAACAAAATATATACATAAAATTGATTTTTAATTTATATGTTAAAAATGCACCGTCTAATGTAAAGATAATAGATTGTAATACCTGATTGTAAAAAATATACTTTCTGTTATTATACATGTGAAATATGAACATATTATAAATATATATATCTGAAATTAACATTAAATGTCTGAAGTAATGTTCGATATTAAATATCTCTCGTTTAATTAATAACTGAGAGACAAGTTGGAGAGAAAAGTTGCTAGGAGTAGGTCGCATTTCTCACTGCAGCCAGAGCTTGTAGGCGGAACAGCCGGCTTGATTGTAAAATGGATCGGAAGTGATCCGTTTAATCGAGCCCTTCCCATCGCATGTACCATCTGAAATAGTTCGAATGGCTTAGGCTTAATCGTGTATCTGCACACTGCCAAAGTGATATCGTTGAAGGAATTCCGATACATGCTACAAGAGTTAGCGTTTGATTGCGCGAATCGACTTTGCATTTTCATTAAGCATAATGAATCGTACAGATACGCGAGTGGCTGTGTCACTCTAATCGGTCCTCCCCTTTTTTTGCGCGACGT